ACACACACACACACACACACACACACACACACACACACACACACATACACACACACACATCGCCCGCTGCATTGTCATCATATACAAGGCCAAATTACGTTTCCTCAACAAATCGCGAAAAGATGTCACTTTGACTCATTTTGAGTCATCACTTTCATTTTCGCCAGCCTTTCTTAAATCCTGAGTTTACTCTTCGATTACTTTTAGTTTCGAGAAAACTGTCTTTCCGATTCTGTCTGTTAATGCTTTCAGAACTCACTGTGGACATCTTTCTACGTTTATGATTAGAAATACAGTGGAACCTGCTCCCTTGGTCACCTGTATAAGACAATCACCTCTATACAAACTGCCACTTCCCATCCTCACGTTGCGGTTTCTTGCCCCATTAAAATGATACTGTGTAAGACGGCCACCTGTCAAAGACGGTCGTTTATCTGCTCCACAATTTGTGTATTTTATTTTTGTTTTTTGTTGTTGTTGTTTTTTAAATTTCTAATTTTAATTAATTTTTTTTTTTTTGGGGGGGGGGGTGACTTTCAGGCAATTTGAAATGCTTTTCAACCTTTCAAACGAAATGTTAATATTCTCAGGCTCTTCGTCGGTACCAGTATTATAGTAAAGGTGTTACAAGAGTGATGTAGGAGCAGTCAGCTCACCAAAGCTCAGAAGCTGGGGCGCTCAGAGCTCGTTACTCCTAGTGAAACATTTTTCTACACTGCCAACAACAACTACTACTACGTTGTATTATTCAGCGAAAGTGGAACTTCGATCTCAACGCTTTGTATGATGTAACACAAGAAAGGTTGTTAAAATAAAGTTATTTGACGTGACAGTTTTATCATTTCTTTCAATTTCTTCAGCTCAATCATATGGACCGTTGATAATTCTTATTACGATAAAATAGGGAAGTGGGTGACTGGCGGGTGCTCTGGCGCACTTTAGTCCCTTCTTTCTTATCGAGCATGTATCCGCTTCATCTCTCCTCATTCCTTTCTTTGTTAGTAAATCCTCAGCTTTCGGGAGTCATGAGACCTATGTGTATTACAAGTGGCGTAAAACTCTTTTACCTAAACAAAACAAGCAAGGAACACGTTTCACCATCGATCAGACTGAAACTAAATGCTGTGCAGTACCTAACACATGAGTACTGGGTGAAGACAGCAGTCTCCACTCGTCTTATTATAATGAACAACAATAACAACAATAACAAAACGCAATTTTTAAAAATAACAACAACAGTCACAACAAAGACAACATGGCACATGGACAATGAATAACGATAGCAACAGTGCTACAACTCCGTTTGCTTTGAAGAAGACAAACAAAATTAAAAGTTTAAAAGTTAAAACAGGAAAAAAAAAACAATATTTTCCTCCGGACTTACCTTCAATTGCATCTTGTGTTATCTTTGTTTATAATAATCCAGGGCCAGACTCGGTCTTGAGTATCGTATCATATCCCTGAAAGTCGTAAGGAAAGCTCGCACTTCACTTCATTTCACTTCACTAATTCATTCGTCTCTGTACAATGCCCGACTATCAACCGAACACAAAGCGTACATCCGAAAAGAATAACATAAGATCACGATCTTGGAATAAGATCACGTTCACGGGGAAGGATCACATTGCTGGGCCACGAACCTGAAATAAAGCGTCTTGAACTGTGAATAAAGCCGTCCAGGAAAAATCAAATTTTAAAAGTTCATAGACTTGGAAAACAGATTCTCGAAAATTATTCTTGTACGGAAAACGGGAAAACGTTCCATGAAAATAATGTCATCTTATCCATCGATGTTTTCCCAACTACTCCTTTGTTTTGTTGTTGGTTTTTCAAATGCTCTTCTTCCTTCCTTCCTTCCTTCCTTCCTTCCTTCTTTATTATGCGTCAACTTTGCTTTATTGTTATCCGCGCTACTCCGCCCCTACAAGCAACCGCAGACAGACAATGCTCTCTCTCCCTCTCTCGCTTCGCGGAAACTCCTTCGCTCGACTCGTCGCTAGCTCTCAGCCCGGAGCGTTCAGTATAGACTGTTGTGTGTGTGTCTCTGTGTGTGTGTGCGTGTGTGAGGGTGTGCGTGTGTGTGTGTCGCACCGTCAGGCACTGTGACGGGAGGTGTCTATGGTCGCGTCGCGTCGCGTCGCGTTAGTCTCCGCGCGGACAAGCACCGTCTCTACGTCGATACGGTTGGCTTGGGCTTTACCGTACTTTCCGCGGGGACGCGACGTTTTACCCAGTCATCACAGCGGCAGTGGACTAGAAGTAGTTCCGAGGGCGAGCTGTTTGCATCTTCTTCAACTAGATCTAGGGATAAACAATAAATTGTATTATTCCTCACCTTTTTATTCGGAGTTTGTGTGTATGTGTACGTGTGTGTGTGTGTGTGTGTGTGTGT